CTTAGTATATCTATACAAATTGAGTGTACCTGCTTGATGGGGTTCTTGGAGTTTTACTCCCCAAGCCCGGCCCGCGGCCAGGCTTGACTTGTGAGAGTTTGGTCCACCAGGCTTGACTTGTGAGAGTTTGGTCCACCAGGCTGTTGCTTGGAGCGACCCGCAAGCCCACATACCCACCACAGCCCGGTTGGTCCAGAACTTCTTTTTAGAAAACAGTCTAGTTTTTTCTTGAAGATGTCCACAGTTGTTCCGGCAATATTTCTTATAGTCGCTGGGAGGACGCTGAACAACCGCGGATCTCTGATGTTTATAGTGTTCTCTGATTGTGCCTATGGCACCTCTGCTCTTCACTGGTTCTATTCTGCATTTTCTTCCATATCGTTCACTCCAGTACGTTGTTATTTTACTGTGTAGATTAGGGACCTGGCCTTCCAGGATTTTCCGTGTGTATATTATTTAGTATCTCTCTCGTCTCCTTTCTAGTGAGTACATTTGAAGAGCTTTGAGACGATCCCAATAATTTAGGTCCTTTATCGCGTCTATGCGTGCAGTATATGTTCTCTGTATTCCCTCTATTTCAACAATCTCTCCTGCTGTCTGTGTGTCCAAAGGAGGAAGAAAGATTCTTTGGGATACTCTCATCCAGCTTTGCAAGATGGGCAACATGTGGAAGTGAGGGTATGTGGGCCTGCGGGCCGCTCCAAGCAACAGCCTGGTGGACCAAACTCTCACAAGTCAAGCCTGGCCTCAGGCCGGGCTTGGGAAGTAGAAGAACTCCCAGAACCCCATCAACCAGGTATCAACCAGGTGTGCGAGTGTCATAGGAAAGTCTGGGTCAGCCCCAGTGCCAAGAAATATTGGCATATATATAATCTGTTAACAGTTTTCATTACATCGTAATATTAAATTTTCTGAGGGAGGGGGGGGGGGAGAAAAGTGAAGAGGGTGGGAGATGGGATGGGCAGAGGCGAGAGGGAAGGGGGGGATGGGCAAGGTTGAGAGCGAGATAGGGGGGAGATGAGAGCGGTGGGAAGTGAGGAAAGGGGGGGGAAAGAGTGAGGAAAGGAGGGGAAAGGGAAAGTGAGAGAGAGGAAATGTGAGAGGAAAGGGGTGGGGGAGGGAGATACTCGGGTACTGCTGGATTCCTCATCTAGTTCACGATAAAAAAAAAATAAGTGGTATTTTCATAGTAATTATTGCGTCAATGAAGTAGTTTGGTTTAGATAGCAATTCCTGACATATGTACCGAGCTGCTTGTCAATAGGCTTGCACTAGGAAAAAGGATTTGTTCTGCATTTAAATGCACCTAAAGCGTGGTCAACGCTCTAAGCGCCATGGCATATCAAGAATGTTAAATAAAATCGGCAGTAAATGAAGAAGTTGGGCGTAGCTAATATGGCATGATGATGAATCATTTTACAACAACGCTTTTATTGTAACTAAAATCAGTGGCATCCAAAGCAAGAGGACAGCTGGAGAGCGTAACCAACGTTGCAAGGACATCGCCTACACAGCTCGCAATGCCCAATTATATATTTTAGTCGTACCTCTGTGTACGAAACCGGATTGAGTAGGATAGATGTGTGGTTGACCTTGACCAAAGTGTTGCTGTAAGAATTTTCCAATAAACGGCGCTGGAATTGTCAAAGGCGTTCTTTAAATAATTCACTGGGAGTGAGCGTTTGACTAGGAAAGGTTTTTATAGGCTTAAACGGTGTCTGAAGTTTATAAATCTGAAACAATACTTGCAAGTCATGAATTGATTATCCAGGATTCTTAATATGGATAAGCTAGCTAGCTTTGCATTTACTTGAAATACTTATCCTATCATTTCGTGTAAATAACCTTTCAGATGTAATACCAACTTCTCATTGTTTGCTGCTGACAAAAATTAAGAGGAATGAGAGGGAGGAAGATAGCAAGGAACTTCAAGATGCCCTGGACAAACTAAAGGAATGGTCCAACAAATGGAAAGTTATTTAACAACAAATGTAAGTTATTTATAAAGGAATCAATGGTTTTAAGTGTTGCTGCTTTCAGGAGTGCTGAATTTTCCTTGCTCTTTTTGCTGATGGGCGCGAGACACTTGTATTTCAGGGTACAGATATAAAGGAATATCATTAGCTAGTACGTTCGTTGCATACAACAGGAATATTCAGTTTAATGAGATTGTGTGGGAGAATGGGCAGTAGAGGCCGCTACAAGCAACAGCCTAGTGGACCAAACTCTCACACGTCAAGCCTGGCCTTGGACAGGGCTTGGGGAGTAGAACTCCCAGAACCCCATCACCACATATCAACCAGAATACTTCCTAACTAGTTGTAACAACCAAGATAGCAGCTAATGAATATAATACATTTTGTATATACTACTGTATATAATATTGCATATAAATGTATATAATACAATAGCAAGTTGTAACAATGTTCTAATACATCATAAAAACGTTATAACCAGATGTAGCAACTTTATTACACGTTGTAACAAGGGAAACTGAAGGACCGTTACGTTGTTTGTAGTGTGACAATTTACCATGCACTGGTAAATTTTAGATATATTATGAGGTTATTTTTATAAACATGGTAGTCGATAAGGTAAATATAAAGCTACTGGTACCTCATACCCCCAGGCATGATGGGTCTGTCTAATGACTGGACATTCAACAAGTGTGAGACCATGACCCCAGGTTTTGCTCATAAAAGTTTACACCTGGAGTGCTCAGGATTGGGAGCTCTAAAACATGCAGCCACCTGCCACAGATAAGGTCATATTGTCTGGTTGACGTTTTGTGCTGCTCTTGTATATAGCTATCTGATCTAACGAAGTCATAATTGTTAATATTAATGTTTTCGGGCTTTCCGAGTGTCTGCCATTTTTATATCAGACTTGACTGTTCAGAGCAATTGTTTTAACCTAGGTCTAGTTCAGTTTATCTTTGTTGTATACTGGTTTGGCAGCTTTGTCTGTGTCATCGTGATGAATTATATTTGTGTACAACACCTAGTTGTGCTTGCAGGGGTTGAACTCTGGCTCTTTGGTCCAGCCTCTCAACTGTCAATCAACTGGTGTACAAGATTCCTGAGCCTACTGGGCTCTTATCATATCTACATTTGAAACTGTGTATGGAGTCTGCCTCCACCACATCACTGCCTAATGCATTCCATCTGTTTAACTACTCTGACACTGAAAAAGTTCTTTCCAACGTCCCTGTGGCTCATTTGAAGACTCTGTTTCCACCTGTGTCCCCTTGTTCCACCCGTGTTAAACAATTTATCTTTATCTACCCTGTCAATTCCTCTGAAAATTTTGTAGGTAATGATCATATCTCCTCTTACTCTTCAGTCTTCTAGTGTCGTGAGGTCATTTCACCCAGCCTTTCCTCGTAACTCATGCCTCTTAGTTCTAGGAGGCACGAGGGCGATGGTATTCATACAAAACAAATTCTAAGCCTTTTATTATGTGCAGCGAACAGATTTTTTTATATATAATTACTAATATGAGGTTATTCTATCCTGCAGGACAAATGGTTATTTTTTATAATTTTTGTATTAACATAGGTACATCTGTATTTGTGCAGCAACCTTTGAGTTCAGTTGAGGCTAGTTGAGGACTGCTAGGACGTGAAATCCTTTTGATTTTATTTCCCATTTGGGATGAGGATGTTGCATGATTCATGCCTTACAAAAAACTTTCCCAGTGCTGGTTACACACCTGTTTTATCTCTCTCTAAACTCTTGGCTGGCCTTAAGAAATACATTAGGGGTATCAATTGTTGTGTTTTTTATACTGTTCAGCTAAGATGAGAGCTTTGTTGTGCATGGGCTTAAGGCGCGAGTCAGAGGAACAAGGGACAAGCAAGGGACCTGTCCCTTTCCCTTCCCTGTCCCAACAAGCAAGGGACCTGTCCCTTGCTTGTCGTTTTGGGTCTAGTGGATTTCACAATATCATAAAACGCAGACATTTCTGCGACAAGGGCCTCACACAGTGCATTAACATTAGTACAAAACAAAATGGAAGTATGAATTATACCATTCAGAAGTATGGTATTTGAAGTGCATAAGTAAATTTTCAGGGATTGTTGACTAATTGTTTCAAAACATTGGGGTTCGACAAAATTTATGGTATATGAACTGAGGATGGTAAAACGAGCACTAATTCAAGCAATTGATTTACAATTTTGACAGACGAACTGGTAGTAAAACTCTCTGGGCTCTCCCCTCCAAATTTAACAAATAATACATCCCCGAGCCAAACTAGCAAAACAAAAAATGCCATTGGGCACACGGCCCAATAACGAAAATAGGATAGCCTAAGTTTTATTATCATATACAAGGGTTTTAGTTTTGTCATCAATAAAAGGGGAGTTCTCCCGATTTTTAGGGATAAAGTTGCATTGGCCTGTTCTGTACAAGTCTAACGGAAGGAACCATTAGGATAACAGGTATTGCCTAAGCTTAAGTGTTGAAGCAGTCAAGCCAATACGATAAGGCTTTTCAAAGATATCACATAGGCCTAAGTACAAAGTTGATATGGGCCTGGGGTTAGAATGTTTAATTTCCATGGAAGCTATACACTTTAGCTCGGACTAAAGTATTTTAAGCTTGAGATATTGAAAAAAGAAATGTAAGAAAATTACCCATAAGGTATTCTTTTTGTATGTACGACATAACACCTGATAGAAGGAAAAAGCCGGGTAGGACTTTACATGAAAATCTTTATAAAAGACTCGATATTTCCTCATGTCTCGTCTCATTACTTCACCAAATACATGATTGAAATTGAAATAAGTTTATTGAGGTAAAATACACACAAAGGGATGAGGTAGCTCAAGCTATTCTCACCCCGTTCAGTACATCGTGTTAATACATACATATACAGAAATACATGATAATCTTTAGGAAAAGTATGAGGACTATCGACAAGCTGCCGACTACTAGAGGCTGTGACCCTCAGGTAAATACAGGCAAACCTAAGGGGGTACTACTGCTGCTGCTGCTCACCATTGTAGTTGTCGAAGGCTGTTGGGACGTATTCCGTAGGGTATCCATTGGTAGTGTAGGAGACGACCAGAGAGGTCTTGCCGACGGAGCCATCGCCCACCAGCACACACTTGAGCTTGGTCTTGACCTCTCCGTCGGGAGACCCCATGAGGTAGGCCGACGCTGTTGGGTCGTGGGGCCGCACCAGGGGAGGCATAGTCGCCCCCGAGCCGCGGTAAATCCAATCGTACGTCGCGCCCTGTCCCGAAGTCGTTCCCAGGGTACTGTAGGGTGGTCGTTTGTACGACTCGGAACTGGAATAAAATAACTCGCGAGTGTACCTGTCGATGGACCGCAGGCTCCTCAACATGAGGCTAAAGGCTCCCTGCCTGGTGCTACTGCACACAATTAGACTATAAATGCATCGAGGGATTAATATCAACGTGATATTTAGTCACTTCTAAAACATAATCACTTAAATATGAGGCGACACATAGCAAGCGCCTGAACACTGGCGACCAAGACACCTCCCCTCCTCTCCACAGTTAAACTCACACTGACCCGTGTTTACCACCACCAACCACACGCCACAGGGGAGCAACAGCTGATTCCGTGACGTCACAATAAACTCTACCCATCATTGGATGAAATTAACTTGTTTCTTTTTCCAAGCTTTTTGGCAAGAGTGTAAGCAATCAATAGAAGCAATTTAATAACAAATATTTTATCATAATGTTTTACACAACAAAGTTGACATCAAAAAGGTATGTAAATTAGGAAATTGCCAATATTTGTGAACATAATAGCCTATTTTAAACTATAATGTGTAAAGTAACCTATATAAATTTATTTCTAAGCAATAAAAGTTTATTAAAGCATTATAGCACACAAAAAATACGTTAATCTGTCTGTGTTAGTAGTTTTACGCAACTAGATGCTCTTTATTTGTATGTTTACCTGCTTCCGAACTACCAACCACCAAAACTGCTGTTACTGCTAAACGTTTGCCATACTTAACTATCAATGTAAGATATATAATTAAAAAAACATTAAAAAGTATAGTATAATAATATATGAGGTGTGTTTTTGCTTAATTTCTTGATATTTTTAATGAACACAGAATAAAAATATAAAATATAAACAATGACAGTTGGTACTTGTGGCATGAACACCGTCGCCTGCCAGTCCGTCCTTTGGTGTGATCAGTATTCTCAACTCGTTTCCAAGAGCTATAGGAGCTCGTACTAGTTCTCTCCATTTGCCAGTCGAGGTATGTCACGTCTATATAATCGCCTCACAACTTAGTTGAAAGCATAAACTACTTAGAATGAATGTGTTAAGGCCTCTTGATTGTTAAAATTTTGGACACTGCGCATTATTGAGAGTTTAGTTTTTGCTTAGCTACCCTCATCACCTTCGATAAGGTTAAAGCCTTGGCTAGTCAAGGATGCTAAAGTCTTGGCGCAAATAAAGTCGAGACAGTAAAGACAATAACCGTAATACTGGTTGAGATGGGGCTGCATAGTCTTTCCGGCTTGGTGTCTTTTGATAATTACTTTATACTGGTTGGTTATTTGATGAAAGACACTGCAGAAATTTCCACAGAGTTCATGTGTGGTATTCCAGTTTTTTAATAAATTTGTAATGTAGATCATTTGATTGCACACAGTGGAGGTGCTCATTTGTGCTTTGGAATGAGATTCTTTGATGTTGATATGTTTACTGATAAAAGAAAGTACAATGGGTTTTGTAACAATTTGGTTGTGTACATGGTACAGTCTTGCAAAGCTAGTGATATGTAGTGTGTTTCTGGCAAGTTTTAAAGCTCTTGAAAAAAAAATTGAATTTGCAGTTAACAGAAATGCAGTTCATTTTTAAAAAGTATTTAGAACTAGTGCTGCTGTCACATTTTAGTAATAATTTGTTACAGTGGTACTGTCACATTTTAGTAATAATTTGTTACAGTGGTACTAGGAACAGGTGGCAATACAGTAATGAGAAATTATATTGCTGATATATTTTAAATAATACAGTACTGTATATATTGTAATAATACTATATTGTACTGTACATGGAAATGCTAAGATTATATTTCTGTACTAAATATGAAAACTGTCCAGACATCTCAATATTTATGCACCAGGTACATTCTTTCAAGTGTTTCTTCCATGACAAATGCACTCTTATTAGGAAGGTTACTTTTTTAAAGGTTTCAATGCTTAATATGCTTTAATAAGGGTCATTTATGTCAGTGGATGTTGTGAATAACTTTTAATCATAAATTTATGGGTTTTATTCCACAATAGACCATGGTATGATTTATTGTTTATTGAGAAATTAGCAGAGGACAATATAACTTGGTTGATACTTGGCATTACTGAAAAATTACTGTCATAAAGACATGTTTACATGTAATTTAAATCATTTGAAAGTAAATCTATTACGCAGCCAAAATGATCAAGTTTAGCCCTCAATCTGTTGTTCGTGTAAAATGTAGAGTATATATTTCTTAAATATAAATTTTACATTTGTATATTTAGTCTGTTATCTTCCAAGTTTTATGGATATTAAGTTACTTTATATGTTTTCTATCTTTAAATGTATATACAGTATCAATATTATTAAATAAAAAAAATTATTTATTTCTCTTATTCATTTGTATCACAAATAATAATAATAATAATAATAATAAATAAATGTTCATTCAGGAAAATGTTCTTAAAAGATGATTTACAAATAGAATGTTGGATTTCTAGATAGAGCTAGTACATACTATGCCTAAAGCCACTAATATGCACAGCATTTTGGGCAAAATGTGGGAAAAACACTTAGACTAAAACTTAAAACATAAAACATAAATCATGTCATAAGAGGCCTTATCATTTTGATTTTTCAGTATATACTGTACAGTAATTTTACAATATATACAGTTATTTACAATGATCAGTGTTAGGCTATTATTATTGCCTTATATTATGTATTTATATTATGTATTTATTATTATATGCCTTATATTATGTATTAATAAATAATGTAATAACTTTTTAAGTTTTATAAACTAGTAATATACTTGAAATTTGTAAATTTTTATACAAGTAAAATATTTGAAATGCAAAACCACTTTCTGAATAAAAAATGTGAATATAATTTAATATTGCTATGTTTGTTGAATCATAGATTCATAAAGATCCTTAATCATCCAGTAACTAAAATGTATTTTGTATTTTATTTATATACCGTATACAAGAGTTTTTACACTTGTAAAAATTTAAATAAACATTCAAGTCGAGATCTCCTGCACTCATTGTGCTTTTTGTACTTATCACTTACCAAGTTTGGGGTGTCTTTTGATTGCCCTCATGCAATTGAAATGCAGTTTGTACAGAATTTGGATTCATGATTCATTTTTCTCCTTCAGCTCATGGGCTTCTTATGGCTGTGTCGCCGGTTGATCCGGATATTTATAGATGTAACTGTGATCCTGCTGATCATTGCCCTTCTTCCTGGTTTTCCTCCAAATGTGTCTTTCACTTCATATGAGTAAGTTAAAAATTTCTTTGTACTGCTGTATAATTAATTATAATGGCAACTTTTGGGAATACAGTAATGGTTGTATTGAACATATTATTTCCTATATATTCTTATTAATTCTTAATTTATATATTAAGGAACTTATATGTCTCAGGTTAGATGAATGTTTACCATTGGAAGGGCCCTTAGCAAAGAATAATGAGCTGGATGCCGCAGATAGGATTTTGGATGGCAAAATTGTTGGTCCTGAATCCATTGCCTCTCGTGACCCAGAGGAAATCTTTGTGAGCTTACATGGTGGCAAGATTCTTCGTATCTGGGGGCCTAGATTTGATCATTTCAAGACAGTAGCTGCAATTGGGCCTGGTTGTGGTAAGAATCTTCTTGGTTCAGTCTGCATTTACATATCCATTATTATCTAGGAATGCACAATAGATTGAGTGGAGTACTCATTCATACTGCTGTAGAATGTCCCTCATAATTAATTGCTTTTTGAATAAAATAATGCTAATCAGATAGAAATTATTTGATAACCCATGTAGGTGGATACTGTATGATGTCATTGTCCTCACTTATTCCTTGTAAGGCTTCCTATTTGGAATTTTTTTACTTATCACCTTAATCTGAACTTCTGTGTATATAGTTATAAATAACAGTATAAATAAAACTTGAACCCTTATACCTTCCTTCATAGACCACAGAGAATTGCCCCTAGACCCTATCTAGCGGCAATGGGATATATCTATCACTTAATAAAGATTGGTAGATAATTCCCTTCCATAAATGTTGTCCAATAACACTACCAATGGAAGGTGAATTTTTCTTCTATTAAAGTTAGGAAATTTCTTGATTAATCAAACACTTATCTGCTCAATAAATCAGTCAACTGTCCTAGTGGTTCACTTGTAAATGTAAGCTTCGTAGTCTTCCTGGCTTAGCGCCTTTTTGTTTATTCTATTTTATTTTATTTATATATGCAAGAGTTCTTACATTCTTGTAAAGCCACTAGCATGCATAGCATTTCAGGCAGGTCCTTAATTTTAATTTTTCCTGGAATATTACTTGCAAATTGTTTAACATCCAGGTACCCATTCACTGCTGGGTGAACAGAGGTGTGTACAGCTTAAGATTAGTGCATAATCAATCCTTCCTGACCAGGATACGAACCTGGGCCAAATTGCTTTCGAAGCACAGGGCGTGTTTCTTACCACCACCTCTGTCTTGCTCGGGAATTGAGCCTAGAGTCCCTTGGTTGTAAGATGCTGATGTAGCCTTCAGCATAATCACTTCTAGTAAATTTGGTTTACATTAACTTCATATTATTTTTCTTTATTTGTAGATGGCCCTTGGCAAGAGAGTGTGTGTGGCCGACCACTTGGACTAAGGTTTGCTCCTGATGGACGTTTAATAGTAGTTGATGCTTATCTTGGTCTCTTTGCTGTTGATGTTGACACGGGTAAGTTATACTACGGTATATATACAGTATGCAATGTACTTGTCAGATGTCTGTAGTATGGATGCTCTTTTCAAGGATGGATGTGATGTGCAGTACTACTGTAACTACAACAGAGTCGGCAGGACAAGCTGTAGATCCAACGTGATGTAATCATCGATGAGGCTGTTAGATGAGTGAGTAACGATCGTGGAGCAGCAAGCCGTAGTAGATGAAAATGTAGAGATGGACGCGATGAAAATCATAGCTGTGGCAAGGGTGTTGGCAGTGTTCCATCACAGCAAACAGTAGCAGTAGAGGTCCAGTGAGAGTCCATGTTGTAGTCCATCGTGGCTGGGTATCGTCGAAACTCTCTGGGGTCACCAATGTAACGGTTCTATTGTTACGTAAAGTATGGTGACAAATAAAACACAGACACTAAGATACTATATATATATTTGGTCGAATATACAGAAGTACACCGGTGATACTTTGGTGTGAGTTGAGCGCACTGAGCGTCGGTACAGTATCTCGCAAGTGTCTGCTTTAGACCACACTTGCAAGTAGACTAGTTAATGTTTGCTATTCTTGCCGCTTATATTGCTCGGGCAACACCTCACCGTGCTGCCCGGGCAACGCCTCACCTCATTCATCTCCAAAGGTTGACAGGAATATTAACACTATATTTGGAGCGAGTATATTATTGGGATAATCTACTCGCTACAGTGCTATCCGCTCGGCCGACCGGCTCCATTACATTATAGACTTTATGGATTCTCTTGCAAACCTGTTATCTCAACATTATAGTATCATCAAAATCATAATCAGTCTGCTGAGGAAGGCATATTCGGTATGTGCCCTCCACTCATGGACATCCATACTAGACTTCAAAGCAGATAACTGCTTATAAGTATTGTCCAATTACTTAAACATTGGTTGTTGAAAAATTACTTGCATCAATAATTGGAAACGTAATTTTAAATCATTTTGAATAGCATAGATCAACCCTTTTGCTGCTGCATTTAATTTTCAGTCTGGTTACCATTGCAGGTCAAAAATGGGGTAAACAACACAGGCCATATTGACTATGCTATGCTCTTGGTGACATTATTGACATAGAGGACAAGTTTCTTTTTTTATGCCAACCACTTGGGCTGGACGGTAGAGCGACAGTCTCTCTTCATGCAGGTCTGCGTTCAATCCCCAACCATCCAAGTGGTTGGGCACCATTACTTTCCCCTGTCCCATCCCAAATCCTTATCCTGACCCCTTCCAAGTGTTATATAGTCGTAATGGCTTGGCACTTTCCCCTGATAATTCACTCCCTCCTTTATAAAAGAACTATCACCTTGTGGCAGGGGAGCTTGTGAAAATAAGGCATCATCCCACTACTAATATGAACTACATGAGATAAAGGAAAATAACAAAACACTTAACCTTCCAAATTTTTTGGAGGAAACTGATAATTGCCAAACAACTCCACTATCTAATCACTAATCTGACTACCCTGACCCCAAGCTATACGAGTGTCAGAGTGGGAAAGCTTCCTCCATCACAGACTTGCCTGGGGTGCATGCAACTGCATATACATGTTCTGGCTGAAACCAACATTGTTGCAATAAGCAAAATTGACTGGCTCATTTTTGGATGATACCTTGTGGTTTGAACATTTTTCCCCATGTGTTAATTTTTGAACTGCCACCATAAGTGATGAATAATTTAAGCTAGAGTTATCTTCTCTCGAGATTTTTGGTTCCTTGTTTGGGAAGACTCCTATGAAATAGGATGTGCCAATGAAGTTCTCTAGTTAGTGTTTTGGCTGATGTTTGTTATGTCATGGCAGTCTGTGTAGTTGGATTTGGCAATTTAAAAACAATTGTTTTGTTATTTTCCTTATTTTTGGGTAGTTGATCTTTATGTGCTGGCCTTTGATTCCCACAAGCTTCCCTGCCACATGGAGGGGACTAGATTGCTAGAAAAGGTACTTGTCCTCAGAGTTCCATGATTTGACTATACCCAGCTCCCAGTGACGGTGACCTAAGCATGCCAGAGAAATAAGCTTAGGCAATCTACTGAAGTGCAGCCCAAAAAGAGGCATTTTATTTCTCAAATGGTGTTTGATTGCAAATACTTTACAGTAGATGGTAAGTCTATATTGTATAATTTCAGGCAACAAGGAGCTGTTATTTGATATCTTCCAAGAAATTGATGGTGCCGTTCCTAAAATACCTGACGACCTTGACATAGACGCTGAGGGTAATATATATTGGTCAGATGCTTCGACAGTTTGCACACTTGAAGATGGCATTGTGGAATTTTTTAGTGATCCAAGTGGCAGGTAATTTTATCCATTTAATCATTTATAGTGTCTTAATTTAGCTTGCTCTTCTGAAATATCCTAATAATAGTTTTGTTGTATTGCATTCTCATGCAGATTATTTCTTATTTTGTCTTTATATATTCTGCATTATGATTATTTAATTTGCTTTGTGGATTTGCTCAATACTGATCTCTTTAAAAATTTCTCTCTTGTCCAGCAGTACCATTGGTTCCCTCTGCTTCATATCTCTTCTTGTTATTTAATATTGTGTAGGCAATTTTGTATTGATCATTTAATTTATTTTTGTTGCAGGCGATGAGTCACAATAATGTGGCTGAAGTATGTTGGCCAATCCCCACTCTAGAAAATGAAGGGACGACGACGTTTCAGTCCGTCCTGGACCATTCTCAAGTCGATTGTGACTTGGTCGACTTGATCGATTTGAGAATGGTCCAGAACGGACCGAAGTGTCGTCGTCCCTTCATTTTCTAGTTTATTTTTGTTTATATTATAGCTATTTTCATCTAGGTTTGTGTCCACAGTGTTTTCTTTGGGTTTTTCTGCTTCATTTGATATTCCATCGTCATTACTTTCCCACAGTTTGACTTTTAATTGTTATTCTGTCCTCCATTTAGATGTACTGAGTGGGTTTAGGTGTAGAAGGTAGGGAAGGGATAGGATGGGAAAAGTTGGTGCAATGATGAGCTTGTGAGCAAAGGACAGTGAAAAAGTGGTTGTTGGTGAGGCAAGTATTGAAGAAATAGGGTTCATCTGTTTACAAATACAGTACTGTACAGTATTGCTGTTCATCTCTGCTTGCTGTTCATATCTGTTTACAAATACAGTACTGTACAGTATTGCTGTTCATATCTGTTTACAAATACAGTACTGTACAGTATTACTGTTCATCTCTGTTTACAAATACAGTACTGTACAATATTGCTGTTCGTCTCTGTTTACAAATACAGTACTGTACAATATTGTTGTTCGTCTCTGTTTACAAATACAGTACTCTACTGTTCGGTACAGTACAGTATTGCTGCTTGTTTTCAAATGCAGTATATATCTCTGTCTCTGATTATATAAGTGTTAAATTTCGGTTTCCTCTTTTACTGCAGAGCCTGGAATAATCGATGTTAATTTTTTTTAGATTATCTTTCTTACCTGCTGCTTCATGTTGGAGAGTTTGTGCGTGTGTGTAATTACCTAATTACAGGTTGAGAGCTACGCTCATGGTGTCTCATCTTCCCAGTACTCTTTGTCGTATAACACTTTGAAAGTACTGACGGTTTTGGCCTCCACCACCTTCTCACTTAGTTTGTTCCAACCGTCTGCCATTGTGTGAAAGTGAATTGTTTTCTTTCTTCCATGCTTAAGGAAGCAGATATAGTGTGTGAACAGTGCACAAAGGATGATGGGAAGGAGGTTGAGTGAAAGCCATTTGTTGACATGTTTGTATAACAGCTCATGGGGCAGCAATATACACATGGTCTTATGATGTGGTTTAGTGATAGTGTTTACTGTGATGCTATTAATTTGGAAGTTATAGTGAATGGATGTACAGTATATAATTTTGTATTTCTTTAACCTTTGCTTTCTTTTCTGGTTTACTGGTTTCCAACAAATACGTCTCCATACCATAGGAGTTGGGAAAGTGATACAGTACTGATAATGGTAATTTCACAGTATAATTCTTTGTCTTGATAAATTTGTTATGGATGTGGCAACCCTGTTCATCACAGTGGTGCAAGCTGCCCCACAATGAAGGGAAAGACGAAATTTGGGAGGTAATGTTTCTCTATCTTCACTCTAGAGGTCCAATGTTTTCCAACCCAAATAATTAGAAATAAGGTAATAATGAATTTCTTAACAAATAAGAAATCTTGTACACAAAATGTCAATAACGTGATTTATTTATGATTTTCTCAAGAAACCTTGTCAGTTTCTTTACATCAGGGTAAAGATGCTTGCTTATAAGTTTGTATACCAGTCTTTTGTTTTGCATTGTTTACTTGTATAGGATCTTGAATAGGAGATGCATACTGGATATGCAATGAAGATAATTTTTCTGAAAATTTGATGGAATTTACTGTTAGCATTTTCCCACAGGTTGATAAAGTTTGACCCTAAAACAAAAACCAACACTGTTCTAGTGAAGAATGTCCATTTTGCCAATGGTGTCCAGTTATCTCCTGACCAAGACTTCATTTTGTTTTGTGAAACCTTCAGAAATCGAGTGAAGAGGTAAGGTCTAATTGATGTTTATAATAAGCTTTGTATTTTTGATGCAAAAAAATACAAGGTTTATTCCCTAGCCAGGGAATAAACCTTGAAATAAAAGGAAATGAACAAGCCTGTCAGTTTTTTCCATAGCTACTGTACTTGGCGTGGGTGTTAGACAACCAAATGTACAGAAATGGTCAAAATAAAGGCCTGAAGTGGCCCTTCGAATGTTGTTGATATATAAACAAGACCACACACCCTTTAAGGAAGGAGAGTTCCTTGAAGCAGCATGATGTTACTTGATGATACTAAAACACACTTGATGTTTTCTCTGTGCATATAGCATCCATTTTCTTTTTTTAATTTGACCCCCCCTTTCATAGTATTAGAAATTAAAAGCAAAGCCATGTTCATTCTAGGATCTCCTGTAATCTTAATGAGAAGGTAAATACTGTTCTTAAAGGATCACGGTATGAAGTGATACAGCTAGATAAAAACAAAGCAGTTCTCATCTTTTGTAAATTTTTTATGTTCCTCTATTTCAGATATTGGCTCAAAGGACCTAAAGCTGGCCAGACTGATGTGTTTGTAGACAGACTTCCTGGCATGCCTGATAACATCCGAGATAAAGATGATGGTGGATACTATGTGTCACTTGTATCTGTTCCCAATGATTTTTCCCGAAAAGGAAGAGCTATCATGGCAAAATTGCCACTTGTTCGAAAGCTAATTATAAGGCTCCTCTTCATAACAAAATTACTTTTTAAATCCTTTGACAAGTTTTATCCCAATCAGTACACTGGCTGTCTTGTCCATAAGGTAAGTTGTTTCATATTGTTGAATAATAATTACAATTTGAATATACAGTATAGTACTGTACTTCGATAATGTTAGTGTATACTGTATGTACACAACCTTTCCTCTTTAAGAGAGGACCCTTAACTTGCTGTTTTGGAAACAAATCCAAAATTTAGTTTCAATTATTTTTCATTTTAAAATTACAACCATTTTCGGCCATATGGGCAAACGGCCAAATTCAGACGTAATTTGTAAGAGAACAGGTTGATGTACAAGGGGGTTACCCTTTCCCTTTTTGAAAATTCTTTTACTGGAGGGGCTGAATAGTGACTCACTGTAGCTAGTTGCACTAAGATAGCTGCATACCTATTAGTCACACAAGTCCTTGTAGTCACATCAACCCTTATGAGTCTTTAAAAGCATATCGGAGACCAGTCAAAACCTAGCCCCACCCCCACCTTTACAGAAGCATAGGGAGCAGGGAATTCATTATCTATCTCTCACCAAAGACCCAAACCTTCAGAAAGGAAGTGAAGCAAAACAGACAACTGTAAGATTCACAGAAAGTAAAAAAAAATTCTGTACAGCAAATGACTTGGCAAATGATCCATCCAGTAGTGAGGTTACACTCCACTAATAACAGGTGACCACTACCAGGTGGCAGCATCATGGGAGCTGTTGATTTCCCATTGTGAGAGAATGGATTTTGACAGCTGTATTAAGTAGTTGAAAGTGAATGCACCATGACAGTTGAAGCCACTAGAAATCCCTTGAGTGCACATGGCTGGGGTTGGATTGGCCCCAGGTGACTCACAGGTTAGTCAAGCAATTGTGCAGGAGCCTCAACTTTGCCTATATTGTCTTTTTCCTTGATAGAGTTTGGCTCTGGGCACTGTTCCAGTTTCTCTGATTCCATCTGTTTTACTGCTTCCGGTACTGGTGATTGATTGATTGATGAAGATTAAGCCACCCAAAAGGTGGCACGGGCATGAATAGCCCGTAAGTGGTGGCCCTTTTGAGCCATTACCAGTATCAAGATCTGATACTGGAGATCTGTGGAGGTGCGAATGCACCCTACGTGACGGGAGATGTCTCCCATGCCGGTACTGATGGGTTTGAACCTCACCAACCTGTCATTGGTTTCTGTCTCGCCAGCTTCCTCTTTGGCTTTTATTGGAGTTTGATTCCATGGCACCATTTCTATCCTCCTCATTGATGTGTTCACAAAAGATTCTGCTCTTTAGTTGGGTTTCATGACCATTGCTCACCTGGCCACCCTGGGTTAGTGGTTGGGTCCATTCTTTTAGATGCACAGTACTCTACAGCAGTCTGCCATACTTGGCAATGTATGAACATTGCATATGATGTAGAAATCATATTTCTCCATTTTATTTCTCCATCATATTTCTCAAACTCCATTACCCGAGGCAAAGTTCGTAACCCGATTCGGATTTTACGAAGAAATTGGGCTCGTAATCCGAAAAGTTTGTAAAGAGGGGCATTCATAAGTTGAGGTGGCACATGTAGCCAATTGTTTTTTTTTATGTGAAGTTTGTCCGTTGAACATCATTCATATTTACCTGTAGTTACCATAGGGCCACAATCTTTCTGGTGGCCTCGATGGGGATTGGATACAATCAGATTCTCAAAGGTACCCCAATTTGTCCAGATGATTTTTAACTGGATTTTTAATTTCAGCAAATTTTGGTGGGTAGGCAGTTCCAGGTACAGTATTTATAACCTTTTGGATGAAAAAGCTTTTCCTGTTGTCTGTCCCACATTATGACTTGTCGAGCTTGAAACCATTGCACCTTGTAAATGTTACATCTGACCTTTTTAAGTAGTGATCTGGATAAATATCCTCCAGTGTGTTCAGTATTTTAAGAGTTTGATGACATCAGCGCCATTATATATGGTTTGCAGTGTTAACCCTGTGGCCCTCAACTGTTCCTGGTATAAGAGAGTTAACTTAGTTCTGGAATGATTTTTGTTTACCAGTGTTGAACTTTCTCTAAATCTTTCAAAAGATGAGGTTTTCATGGTTGGATACAGTACTCCAAGTACTGTGCACCATACAGTTGAATATTACCTTTTCCTGGAAGTCAAAGGTTCATTGATTATTCATAGGGCTTGGGTTTTTTTTTGGGGGGGGGGGAGGGTCAGATATATTTTAATTATTAATACACAAGTTAATGTTAGCCTATCAGTGTGTGTGTGTCTTTTCTTAAATATTTATAAGAAGTCACTTCTGATGCCGTCAGTATTTGAAACAAGCACTAAACTTCCAAAGGCTGAAGTCACCTCTTGTTTGTCCATATTAGTAGTAATGTATCAACTGGTGAACAAAAAAAGTTCCATTTGTAATCAGTGGGAATGGTTATATTAATGTTGTTAATAATGTAAATTTTATATTGTAATTTTTAGTGTATGGTATTATTGTTTTCTTGCAGATACTCAATCTTCAACCTGTAGCAAATGTAGTTCGCACAAACTTAACCATAGTAGTTGAGCTTGATAAAGATGGAAATATTATAAATTCACTCCAAGGAAACTCTGGTAAAATACAGCTAATATCGGAAACCAAGAAAGTTGGTAACAATCTATTTTTTGGATCTCCATACAATAAATATCTTGGACGCTTCCCTATTGGAGTTTCATTTATTGAAGTTGAAGGACAGGGTGTAAGGATAAAGACAGAAAAAACCCCAGCTGTACAAAAAGAGGAAGAACAAGTAGAAAAGAAAGTTTTACTTAATGATGAAAAAATTCAAGATATAGAACTAGGTGAAGTTGATAGAAAAATTGGAGATCCTGTAATAGAAAGTGAAGAAAAAAGTAAAAAGCCAATTATAGACGTAGAAACAAACACACATAATTTTATAAGAGAAGCTGAGAGAAAACAGTCAGCAGAAGATATTCAAGAAGAGGTGAAAGCAAAACAAAAGGTAGAAGATGCAGCAGACTTAAAAAGGGAAGATGTATTAGAGAAAGAAAGCACTAAAGTGTTTAGTGAAGAAAAACAAGTTGATAGGACAGAGAATGCTGGGAAAGAGGAGCTTTAGACATTTTTTATTGCTTTAAGATAATTTGCTTTCAAAGGGTTATTAGAGTAAATTTATTAAAGGATTTGAAAGAAAATCAGCAAGCGCACTACAACATTATTTATGTTTTCTACTTGTACAGCGTATCTCTTGATTATTAGGATACTAGCCACAGTATCTGAATTTCTTGAGTGTTTGGATTTTGCAATTTGTAGTATTTTTCAGTATACTGTAAATAACTGGCTTATTTATGGTGATAAATGTCCAGAAAATGGGACATTGAATTGATGGCTAATCTAAATACATGTACAGTACAGTTCATAGCAATATTATCTCCAGGAATTTGGCTAATTAAATTTCCTAGGTGTTGCTGTCTTTGCCTCATGTACACAGGGGAATAATTTTATGATCTTGATATTTTGGCAGTAATATATTCATCCTTCTTTGTGTATATTCATCCACATTACAGAACATTTGCTATTACATCTGTAGTCACCACCGGCATGCATTTTATGAGTCAACGTGCCAAAAAAAATCAAGATTCATTCATTATCATTATCCTATTCCCATGTTACGTGGGGTGAGGAGGCATCGGCCAAGATAATTTTTTTTATACAGTACAGTATTAATATAATGAAAGAATATATATATATTCTTTATACTGTGTGTATATGTATGTATGTGTGTGTGTGTGTGTGTATACAGTAAAAAAAAAATTATAATATATATATAATATATATATATATATATATATATATATATATATATATATATATATATATATATATATATATATATATATAATAAATAAATAAATAAATTAATGATAATAATAATAATTATTTTACACACACACACACACACACACACACACACACACACACACACACACTGTAGCATTATGTATTAACAAGCACTCTAGCAGTCATCCACAGCAACACCCAACCATTTCATAAAACTAGGTGGTCTACATCCTTGGATCACAATCGAGGGTCCTGGGATCAAACTTTGGACATGACAGAAATGGTTAGGTGTGTTTCCTTTTACCTCATTCGGTTGTTCACCTAGCAATAAAATCAGTACCCAGGAGTTAGGCAACGGCTGTTGGTTGCATCCTGGGAATTGTCTGTACAGTACTCGAGTTGGGGAAATGTCGATAAGCCTAAGTACAGTATAGTACAAGCTTCCTGTTCCAGACAACAGTAATTATACTGTATACAATAATAACAAATAAAGTACATTCACTCACGTTTAACCTGATACCATCCTGCCTTTACCCCTATAATATCCTGTATATTTTTCACATATTTGGCATGTCCAGTGATATTCTCAGGATTCTTCTCCTGCTCTCAAAATAATTTTAATGCACTATTCACTAATCTACCATCATCCATTTATTAAACCTGCCTCAGACTATCTTAGAACGCCCTCCTCAATCTTGTGGTTAATTGACTTGCACCCCACATCTCTGATATTTTGAATCTTTATGCTAAAAACTCTTAACAACACATGTTTTTCAAATTTGTCTATCTTTACTGCTCTTAACTCTTGGTTTTTTCACTTAAACATTGTTTGTATTATCCGATAACCCCAAATCAGCAGACATTCAAGAATGTTTTTAATTAATAATGATATTATACAGTAGATATAAATTTGTCTAAACCATACATCAGAAAATTAAGAAATTACAACTTTTGGTCCGTCCTGGACCATTACCAAGTATTGTAGCGTAATTATTACAGCCCCACTCCTGTGCCCGGTAAGTCCACTATGGGCTCGCCATGGCCCTGCTACTTGGAACTTTTGTTCCGAGTTGCTTATATTAAAACAACAAACATCATCAAGTCATTACACAGCTTGATAATGGGCTAAGACTGACTGAAATTTCATCATTTCTTTGTTCTCCAATGTGGGATTCGGACATCATATCTTTAGCCATGTTACTGTGACTTATTGTCTGCAGATGTATAAACTGAGTTTTATGTACATATATGTAATTGTTAAGGAATGTGTAGACATTGTATAATAGTATTTTTTTTTTTTTACCTGTTACTGCTCCCTAATTTTTTGCTAACAGTATAGGACATTGCACGGTATACACTGTATACATTTTTATCCTTAGCTATATTACTTTGTTGCCAAAACTTTATAAATTGTACCTTGATATTGGTTTGCTGGTGTTATGTAGGCAGGCATCCATCAGTCATAGGAGACTATGGAGTTGCGCTCTGGTTGTCGGTCTGGAGTGGCCTCTCCAGGGCGCAAAGCCAGGGGAGGTTGATATAGACGAGAAGCAGCAAAGCAATATCAAGGTACAAATTATAAAGATTTATATTTAGATTGGTGTAATGTGAGATCACATTTCAATATTTCTTACTTGTCACGGTTACATAAACTTAAAAGCATTATGCTAGCAGTATTTAGCTTGGTTTATTACTTATCATGACAAGATAATGTCATATGCCACATTTTTTATGATGTCTCATGTTAATAACATTATTTTTATAACATTGATACAGTATAGTTGAAATGCAGTTCTCAAGTTTTATTGGAAGGGGTATGTTTGGCATTCATATTTTGTTTTCTTGGATTTTTCTTTTCCTGTACTTTTAACCTTTAATTCAGTATTGAAATATATATTTACTGTGATATACAGTATAGTGTATCTTTAACCTTCAAATGACATGTCAGGTTTGACCATACCAGTATGTAGCATATATTCAAGTGTTTTCACTCTTGGCAGGCTGTTTTCTGTACTGTAGTCAGGTGATGAATGGTTACCTCCATTCAGTAGAGGTCTCAAGAACCCAATTACATTACTGGATAAAAATCCCAGTATGCAAATCTGTGAACTTTTTTGCAATTAAAATATTGTAGTGATTACTTACAAGGACAATATACTAGATTTTAGTTATACAATAATTACTGTTGTGCAAATAGGGGACAGCATATAGAGCATACAAATACTAGTGCCTTCTCAGCATACATATACTAGTACAGGGTACCTTCCATATGACCAGCAGTGACAAAATTACTGTAGTTTCTGAGCACAATTTTGTGATTACACCTGACTAATAATAATAATGAGATTTTAGCCCCTGCACTGCACATTACGACCAGTGTTGTTTTTAGGGCCATCATAAAATGTAAAGCGCCCACACATTCACGGGGCTCACATTTGCTTCCTTAGGGTTCCAATAACCATCCCCCATCTTGGGGAGGAATATCCCAAGTCCCTCACTATCCTTCTAGGGCTTTAGTAAAAGGGTGAGGAACATGTCTGGCACGTCACCATGCAGTGTCTGAATGTGCAGGGCAGCTGTACTAGGAACCATCAAACTCTTAACAAAAACAAAAGTGTGATTACAGTGTATGTCCCCCCCCTCCCTGTCTGGCCCGTTGTTGTCGTGAGGGGGGGCTTAGTGGGCGGCTGCTGGAGTGTGATGCTCCATGGGTCAGTCCTCTGACCTTTTGCAGCCTTATGCTCCTGCTGCTGTCTTTACCAATTGTGCCAGACATCTTTTCATTTTCCTCGTGTTTCATTTTTCTCCCCACCCCCCTCTCTTCTCCTTTCAAACTGTCATTTCCTGCTGACCTTTTGCCTGTTTTGATCATTCTTTCGGCGTTCTTTTGTTTTGATGCCCAGGTGTTTGAGGAGGCATACTCTTGCACCCATAGAACTGTAATACCCAACGTCTCGAGTGAGGGGTCCCTTTTATTGTCAATCCTCCTTTCGTTTCTGAACCCGATCTCGACGGACTGATGGTTCTAAAGGTTACGTTTGTGGGGCGTATACTCACGACGCACCCCCTGGGGGGCCCCGGCAAGATCGGCAATAAGTCTCTTGTTGGGTGTCCTGCCTCCAATTGTGGCTCCATGGTGGGTGTGGGGGCACATTCGTGAATGAAAGTCTTTCCTCGTTTGTATGTCGATTAATGTTCTTATACCTTCTCGGGCTCGTGGGGTCGACAACCAAGCCCCCGAGTCGGCCTAGGTTTAAAGACCGGGCTCTGTAGCCTCACTGCATTGGGCCCCAACCTTGCTCCTCCTTTAACCCTCCTGACTACTACTCTCGGCTCCCCTCCCTCCTCTGTGGTTGGGTCGAGCCCCAAGCCCCCAGTGGTGACCACCTCATCCCCTGGCACAGCTCAAGTCTCTAGTTGTGACTACTGCGCATTTTAACCTCTTTCTGGGGTTCTCAATGCTGCCCTCGCCACAGCCACACTCGCTAGATTCCTTCCCGTACTGATGCGTATCAAGTCTTGTTTGGTCCCGCTTCGTGGCCCAAATACTTTGATCTCCTCCCTCTTGATTCTACGCCTCCTGACGATTTCTCTCTCCATAAACACCTTGTCGATTCAGTAGATGCCTCTGTTACCTTCAACCCCACCCGTCTCGGTACACGTGTCATTGCTGCTGCTTCTTAGAATGCAGCCTCTTGCTTGGCAGCCTTATCCTGCCTTGGCGAGACTCCTGTTCAAATCTCCAAGAACGCTCGGTTGAATGCCAATGTTGGCACTATTCTCCTCCCACCCTATGTTGCAACTGGTGTTCGTAATCTACAGGACTGCCACGAAGATATTCGGCATATCCTCGAAGCCCAGGGTCATTCTGTCCTCCAGGTGAACTCGTTTACTCGTCCTCCTCGGATACTTTTGATATCGTTCGCCTTATGCGTTTTTGTTCTCGTATTGGCATCCTTGGTGATATTTAGTGCCCTCTGATTATTCCACACATTTGATGGTGCTACATAGCCTTCCCGGTTTGGTGCCTTCTTTTGATAATTACTTACTTGTGACACTAATCATGGGCACTGAAGTTTATCAGATGGCATAACAGTACTATAACTATTTTGCTGCCTCTGCATTATCAAGACCAACCAGTGCTGGTAACCTTGTGACGATTTCGGGGCTCAACGTACCCGCAACCTGGTTCTCGACCAGGCATCCTCATTGTTGGACTGGTCAACCAGGCTGTTGGATGCGACTGCTCGCAGCCTGACTTACGAATCACAGCCTGGTTGATCAGGTATCCTTTGGAGGTGTTTATCAAGTTCTCTCTTGAAGTCTGCGAAAGGTCAGCCAGTTATGCCCCTTATGTGTAGTGGAAGCGTGTTAAACAGTCTCGGGCCTCTGATGTTGATAGGACCTTTGATGCTACTTACTGAAGGCAAGAAAAATATAATTTATTTTTTATTTTTGTTACTTTAACATTATTTATATTCACACAAAATCACCAGATTATTTACATTTGTACATCTGAAGATGGTGAAATGTGTATTATTCCATTTGCTATAAACAAAACTGGGTAAGTTTTTTAAATCCAAATCTGGCTTGGCATGGTATGTTAAAAATGGCCAAACTAATTGATACAGAATATTCGGTAAAACAAAACGGGTTTGGTCCCAGTTAGTTTATTAAAGTGAGATGCTACTTTATATTCCAAATCATAAAAATATATATTTGTATGTCTTTGTAATTTTTATTTTCATTCTTTATAGCCAGCTATTATTTTATTAAAATTGTTGTTCCAGATGAAGCATTTCTAATATGTATGTTGGGCATAGTTAAGTACAAGTCTAAGGTTGTTCAAATATCAATAAAAATGCCTTGTTCATTGCTTCAATTATTATGATGAAATTTTACACCATGACAATTATTGCACTAGCATTGTAACATTCGTGATTATAACTGCATTTACTTAGTGTTTTATCATGAAACACTAGCAGGATTTTTCATTGCTCTAGGCAAACTCTACATCCATATAGAGCTATTTTATGTACATTAGCATCATGAAGTATAAAAACCAGAATAATCTTTAAAAATCAATGTAAAAAACTGTATAACCCCAAGATCACTCTGTGTTAAGGTAATTATCAGGAGAATGTGCTCAGCCATTGCAACTATATAGCACTTGGAAGGAATACGAGGATAAGGATTTAGGATAGGAATGATTCCCAACCACTTGAATGGTCAGGTATTTAATACCTGACCTGGAAGAAGAAGAGACGGTCTCTCGACCATCTAGTCCAAGTGGCTGGGCTTTTAAGATCTATAATAGCTTCTGGGAGTGTATAATACCTCAGATGTACTGAGATCAATATTGTTACTTTATCACTTTGAACAAATAACAAAACATTGCAATTTAGTAACAGTCCTTTTAATTCACATCCTGACTTGTCCAATACAGCAGGTAAACTTTGCTTGTTCGCATTATGAGGAAGCAAGCAACTGTCCACCCTTTTGTTTTCATTGGTTGAAAAGTAAATGTGTATTAATTATGATCAGTGCTTTAGTTTTAAATGGTCACAAGGTCTCGTGCTCATCAGCAAATTCATGTATTATTATTTCACCATCTGCATCTTTTGGATAGCATCATTATTAGCCCATTGTTGGGCTAATAATGATGGGAAGACGGGACACCACAAACGTAGCCCACATCCTGTAACTACATTTAGGTAATTATTGGTTACGATTATCTTACGTAACATTATCACATGGTTATACCTCTAGATAATCCTCTTACTGCTTTATCACATGTAATTCTGCACAAGCAATTAGCTCTTTAGTGAAATCTAAGTTTTACACTGTGAATCCTTGTACCTTATATACATATATATATAAAACATTATTATTATTACAGTATTTATATTGGATATATTTTTTCCCCCACTACATAATGTGAGAATTATCATTCATGTCTGGAACATGCAGATCAATCGTCTTATTTTGAATTTAAAAGCATTCATAATACTGTAACTAAATCTAGCAAATAAGATGGTAAACTAGTTAACAGTAAGTTTATTAGTTTGGATATGAAATTTATTGTCAATAATATCAAACATTCCATGTAAAGTTGTATATACAATATATTCTAAATGAGCCACAAACCAAAAGAGTATCTTAAAGTATCCTGATGATGGCTCACTGAGAAAAATAAATATTCATAAATAAATATGATAGAAACATATGTTTTTATTAAAAAAATTACTTAAAATAACAAATTCTGAAAAAAATTAAAGAACATTATAGTGAAAGATAATACAAATTTTGCAATTGTCAGACTATCATGAATTCTGCTAAATCAAAATCAACAAAGGAAATAATTATTGAAAGTAATTACAGTACACATTCCATGGATAATCATCCAACTGCATGTAAGAGTAATTTAATGTCCAATAAATTGGACAGAATATTCATTATATGCCTATTGAGCAAAATATATACTTGCTACATGAAAAATCTATGTATTTCCCTTTCAGTGAATGGTTGTTTAAATTGTAGACCTTTAAGTGAAGTAACATTACTACATAAGTACTAGTAACATTAAATGGGTTTGAATCTTACTCTATTCTTAAGAACATTCTGAAAAGAAAAATAATCTACACAATAATGATCGAATACAAAGATCATAATTTCAAATTTACACACAGAATAAAGAGTATTCACTGTACCTAAAATTAATAATTTGTGACATTAATCACAGTCTACCGAGTGGGTTTACACAAATTCACACATTTTTAACGTTCTTCATGTAGTGATAAAATGACAAGATTTTGTTATAGGCATTTATTAATTTGATTAATTTAATATTTAGAACCGCCCAAATCTGCCCTCTCTTTGGTCATTGTCTTGAGATTGTGAACGATATCTTTCCAATGAAGTAGAATTTTCTCGATATTCATGCCTATGTTCCTTGGATCTAGAACGGGACCTTGATCTTCGATTCCTGGATGGAGATCTACGACGGCGACCCCGAGCTGGTGATCTGTAAGAATATTTGTCAATCCCATAATTCATGTGAGAACATTATTTTTTTTTGGTTAAAAGAAAAAAGTTTTGACTGTAGCTCCCCTATGACAGGCATATCTCACAATATTATGAATATTCCAAATATATAGGACAATACATTAAATCATTATGGTTTTGAGCAACATACTATAGTAAGGATGTAAATTTTCAAGAGTATACTGACAAAGATGGTTTAAAGAAATAATGGGCATTAGGAACCTCCCTTAAGAGGATATACTTGAACAAGTATCGTGTTGGATTGGCTCAGTACGTGAGACAAATAACAAAGGTGAACTTTAAAGCAAATATTCTTCATTATTTGATACAGTATTGTATTATGGTATAGTTTTCCAATGTTTATAGTTCTTTGGATTAATAAACTCACTTTTGTTTTGATGTTTTACTTCATATATAATGTAATGCTCAGATTGGTTGCTGAAGTAATTATTTACTAAAAGTTCATTGATGTATTAATGAAATTTCTATCTTTTCTACAGCTAAAATTAAATAAGTAATTTTAATTAAATTAGGACAGAGGGAGGAGCACAAACACGACACCTAACCTTGCCCCCCCCCCTATCGTTTGGACATACAGTACTGTACTAGGTTTGTCTAGGAAAGGACAAAGGTTTTAGTTAGGGAAGGTCATGCTAGATTTGGATAGTGTGCAGTGTGAACTCGCTGAAATGAACTATGTGGGGCGAGGTAGATTACTGCAGAAGGGATTTCATTCGGCCTTTCAGTACCCTGGCAAAACGCAGTTTTTTTCCTTGAGAAGTAAACTTGTATATGTAGTATATTCACTGTACTACATGTACAGGTTTGTCACTTGTGTTATAGTGAAATATCTTTGTACATATATGTATACCCCAAATACCCCAACTATACAATTTTTGGGGTATACTTTGTATACCCCAAAAGTACAAATTCATCATAACCCACCTTTCTCCAGCAATATAAACAAAATTACTGGAAATTTATTTATTAATCATTCTTAATGTTGACTATCACATATGATAGTGCAATCATTGGTGAACAATTCCCTATCAAAATTATAACTACATTATAGGAAAACTCGTGTTGCACACATTCTTTAATGACAGGATTTTCACGATGTCAGCCAGTCTCAATATAAAGATTCTTTAAAAAAATAATTTATTATGCACTCTTCATTTTGACCATTGCAAAAAAGCAGCTCGATCACTGCAAACAATTTTGGTTTCAAATTTATATATATACATTATATGGTCATTATTGGAATAAAATATGTAAAATGATTAAGAGCTTTCTCACCAAAATGTGGTGAGGGAGGAAGGGTGTCAGGGACTCCCTTCCCCCTTCCCTCACTTCTCAATGCCATCAGTCTGTTGCCGCTCTCGCCTCCCTCACACCACTCGCATGCCATGTCAATTTTCTGCCCAATGGAAACGTATTTTCACTTTTTCCTACCATCTTCAGCACCGTGGTTACTGCAGTAAGACATCGTGTTAATAAAAAAAAAGGCAAATTACAGTGCAGATAATGTGATAATTAACAATAACATCATTGACTAAGCCAAACAAGCAGCATTGGTGTTCAACGGCGCAGAAATGACCTGATACTTGGCAACATTTTTAAAACTTTTTTTTTTTGGGTAATTTTACGCATAGTTTCAAGTTGTTATTGTCGGAATAATATTATATAATAATTTGTCATGTTTTGATATGTTAATTTTTTACGTATTCATATTTATTTTGTTATGTAAAAGTTTAATACATTAAAATATATTTCGTTAATATTTGGACTTGGCACATTTCCTTTGAGCTTGGACGAGTCTCAATAACATTCTATAGTGCAAAAATATTCACTTTTGGTTGTTCTGTTTAAATATTAGTATTTAATATAATGTATAAAATAACATCATATTAAAGTTTGTTTAAAAGCTTTAATGCACTGTACAATAGTTTATTAGATTAGGCATGTGCAAATAAAGCCAAATCCCAATTGCCAGGCTCAGCAGCAGCTTGGCCATACAATCCTCACTGAAACTAACATTCGTGCATTCCAATGAACAATTGGCAGTAAACACAAACTGTGCAGACCATTCAAGAGTTTGTTAGAGCGCAGTTCATTAGAGCGAAGATTCACTGTACATTATGTTGTTATAGTTTGGTTTGGAGTAAATTGGAAAAGGTCCAGTGTGTAACCTGAAACTCCTGTAGTCACTGATCAAAAAAATCTTAAGTGTCAAAAAAATATTTAGCATTATTATAGCAAAGCATAAATAAATATTCACTACAACAGCAACAATACTAAAAGCCCTTTTTTACCTTTTTCTTTTCCGGCCATAAAGTTCTCTCCGTAGTTCTCTAGATATAGGCTTGAGGTGCATAAAATTACAGAAGCCACTGCGGGTACATTCACTGAAAAATAAATACATACGTTCAAGACTTCAAATACAAGTGCTCATAAATAATAAATTTTAAAGCTGTTATTTAAACTGTTAGAAATGGGAAGTTACTGAGAGGGTCTCTTCAGTAGATCCCTTAGCTTACTCCAAATGGTATCTCAGCAGAGGACAGCAGCTTTCCAGAAAGGGAAACAAAGGAACACAAGGAATTTGAAAGGGCAGACCCATATAAGAATGTCGTTAGAGCAGGGCATGGGGTAAAGGTATAACAGCAGTGTCAAACATCCCTAGGCCACACAGTCATAGCCAAGCAACATCCAAGAAGAAGCAAAACCAACCTGGGTCCCTGGTTGGTTTTGCCAACTGAATGCCAAAATAATTCCATGCCCAGAGAGCAACTGTGAAAGGGAAACAAAAAAAAAAAAAAAAAAAACACAGGGAAAGTAGCAAAAGGTAGAAGTGAACCAGATTCTGCAGAGCCCAGGACAGCTGGGCCACTGACCTGAGGATGAGAGATAGTCAACAGAATTAAACCCACACCCAGATCTAAAACGAGTCCAGGGACTGGACACAGATGGAGAGGCAGCTGCTGGAAGGAAACACACTGCCTCAAGATGAAGGTCGGCTACAGACCAAAAACACTTGAAAAATAGAGGTGGCTAGAAGGGAGCACACCAGCCCCAGAGGAGTGGAGCCACAGCACAAACATTACCAATCAACAGATGCTGGAGAAACAAGTGTTCAAAACTCAAGGGAACTAGGAACCCATGCCCTGACAATGGAACTGACAACTGAAAACACAGCTCTAAAAACTGAACATCAGACCTAAGGGCAGAAAACTATGATCCGAAGCAACCCGCATGGAACCAAGGCCCTCTTGCTGAAAGTTATGGAACACCATTGAAAAATGTGGGGCATGCCTGCAGGCTGCTCCAAGCAACAGCCTGTTGGACCAAACTCTTACAAGTCAAGCCTGGCCTCAGACTGGGCTTGGGGAGTAGAACAACTCCCAGAACCCCATTAAGCAGGTATCAATCAGGTATTCCATCCTGAAGACAAAGAGCATGGTACACAGCACAATTAGCCTGGGGCAAATAACCCTCACTATTTGAAGCCAAAAAAAAAGGCAGAGGGTATAATCCTTCAATACTATTGCAAAGAGCTGGAGAATCGGAAAAAAAATATTTAAAACCCCACTGCATGTAACACGGAACAGGAAACTGTGCCTGGTACCAGAGAAACGCACCAAGCCCCAGGGCCTACAGGGAAAGAAATGACATCACCTCAGGAAGGTAATTGAAATAATGGAGGAAACCAAAATGTACAGTTCCCAGAAACTATGTACCCACAGCAAACCCATGACCCAGGAAGAAGGAAAAAGACCATTGACCCATAGTCAAGGTTAACCCCTTTCCTCCCCAGTCCATCACATATGAGTAGTCAAGGCTAAAAAGAAATAGGAAATATCCAGACCCCTCACTCTGGAAGCTGTAAGTTTCTCGGTAATATTTTCCTGGGTATTGAATGAACAGCATCTATTCCAGTGCAGTTTTTATAATAAATTTAATTCACTGTGTTGGGGACAGGCAGTCAGTGTGTATATATTTATTAAGCTTATATTAAGCGGCCCCCCCAGGGTAAAATTATTGACTCTCCCCAGGATGCAACCCCAAAACAACCTGTCTAACTACAGGGCACCTATTTACTGCTAGGTAAACAGGGGCATTAGGTGATGGGAAACATGCTCAACCCACCCGGGATTCAAACCTGGGATTCCTGATTGAGATATGAGAAAGAATTCGACTGTATAGATGAATATCTTGTCTTTAATTTCTGAGCTAACTTTCATAATAAGCCTATTCAGTACAGCTATATTTTAGTCTACCACGAATGTTAATAATTTTAAGTGTCTGGAGAACTGTGACTTTACTTTTAGTATTGGAGGTTTCAACTGTTTACTTTTACTTTGTTTACTAACTACAGAACAAGAAGTCATTACATTTATTTTCCTGTCTAAGTAAGAACTTGTCAAAATAGGGAAAGAATGAAACTGGAAATTACCCCATTTCATACTGGCGACAACACGCTTCACGGAAATCTGTTACAGGACTCAGCTCTGCATTGATGGCCCGTCCTCCAAACCATCGATTATTTAGGTCTACAACTGCCTTCTCTGCATCCTCTTCATATTTGAACTGTCAGAGACAACAAATTCTGAACAATTTCTATTTAAGGTTTATTAAAATTGACTATTCAACAAAACTTTACTTAGCAAAAGAATGAACCCTCAAAATTTCATACATACTATACTCTTAAGATTCCATATTTCTGTAAATAATATACTAGTCAACCCTTATATAATACTGCAGCTATGTTCCTGGAATATGGCATATATAAAATGTGCTATATAAACTAAATACTGTAACAGGAATATAATGATTACGTTAACAGAAATGAAAGTTGTATGTTACAGGAATATCTTCATTTAAAGTAATTTGCATGGGTTTCAGTGAGTGGGTGGGTGGGTGGGTGTAATTAAAAGATGATGGGTGTGGGTAAGAGTTAATGAATATGGGTAAAAGTTGGTGGGTGTGTGGGTAAAAGTTGGTATGTATGTGTAGGTAAGAGTTGGTGGATACAGATAAAGGCTGGTGGATATGGGTAAAGGCTGGTGGATATTAGTAAGAGTTGGTGGATATGGGTAAAAGATCGTGTGAGTGGCTAAATGTTGATGTATATGGGTAAGAGCTGGTAGATGTCAGTATGGGTTGATGTATATTATATAAAAGTTCATGGGTGCATGTGAGAGTGGATCAGTGTGTGTGTATAATTACAGTACTTAAGCAAAGTTACAGGATGAGAGTTATGCTCATGGCATCCTGTCTATTATCACAGTGGTTTTGGTATCTACCACCCCTCTTGTTTAAATTATTCCAATCATCCACAACTCTGTTCACAAAATTAAATTTTTTCAGAACACAGTGTACAAAAGTTCACTATTGTATTGTACATATTTTGGCAACTTTGTTTTCTTAGCTTAAACCTATGAGCTCTTTGTTCTTGAAGTTACAGGTTGACTGAGAAAGAAGCCAAGTCCTTGGTTATTTTTTGCTAAAGTAAACGGGAGAGCATGCGGTGAAGACACATTATATAAAAATAGTATGCGCATTTTAAATTATTGGCCACTAAATGAAAGCTGTGTTATGTCAAAAGTTATAGTACCTATAGCTACTTTGGATGGAATGTACAAAATACATGGACAGTTATACCAGAGATAAAAGTCCTTATTTTGTACTACTGATTTTTCACAGAGCAAGAGAAAAATAGCAACACCCAAACCTAACTTTTCTCAGGCCTAGTATAGTACATATTTGCACTAAATCTGGTCAATGATTATATAATTTAGGCTTATGATGGCTTATTTAGGCATAAGAAAGATTAGGTTTTGGATAGACTGTTTAAATTTTTATGCCTTTCAGAATTCCAAAAGTACAGATGGACTCTTGCTCCCAGAAACAGTCCATATTTTGTATTATTCAATCAGAGGGTTTAGGTACCATTTTTTTTGTAGGATGGGTTGGCAGAGAAATGTACTATATTAAAAAACTGCAAGTTATATAAGGGTCCACTATGCATCACAATAAAAATGCTATTTATATATTTTGTTTATCGAGATTAATTAATTACACTTAAGTATTACCTTTATGAAATCTTAACTTTCCCCAAAAAACCAGCAATGAATGTAATGAGATGGCATTATCTGGGTGAGTCCCGGAAGCTCCCTGAAGCTATCGGGTTAATGTGTGATATACAGTATTAGACCAGGGCATTAGTCTATGGAGTTTTGCCTACCGGGGACCACGAGCCAGAACCTGGCCCCCTCAGAGAGGTTTCAGGGAGCAATGACCCTGGAAAACCACCCTGTAGTTGTTTTTTTCTTATCTGCCATTGACCAGGGTTAGGCACCCAGAAAGGTAGGCATAACAAAAACCCCACATGGTAAGAAATGTACAAAAAAAATGAAAAGAGAAGCAGAACTCCCTCCAATTCCAAGGAAACAAGCAAACGTCACACTCCACTGCCGCACAGCTTGTCCGTGCAGCTCTCCACTCCCCGTGCCGGTTATCTAGCACTCCAGTTCAGAAGCTAAGCTTCAAACAACACGAAAAACCGCCAACTGGAAGGAGGGAGTGTTGTCAAAGAGCCTCTGGGGCTCACCCAAAAAATGGGGGTTCATTACACTCAACACTGGTTTCTGTGGGGAGCCCCTACGGCTCCCTGGAGCTACATAACCAAAGATAAGGAAAAAGAGGGACTTACTAAGGAGGTGGCCGCCACATACTCCTCAACACGAGGTCAAGACAACTGGCTGCAACCTGCGACCCAAAGCAACACAGGAACACCCAGGAACAGGAACGTTAACCAAATAACAGGCGGCCAGGACCCTGTTCGACCTCCAAAATCCCCGTGCCCGAATAACAGCCCAAGACATGTTGCCAAACACGGCAGCCAATGCAGATTGGCCAGCCAAAGCGGTAAAACTGACACCCCACCACAAAACCTAACCAATCTCTGAACCCTGGATGAATAGGAATGTGCCAATACATGTCCTAGAAGTATAGGGGCACCATCCAGGCACCCGGCTCCAAAAGAAGCCGGACCTGAGACAGAGTGGTCATCCGAAAGGAGGGGTAAGGAATCCAAGGGTTCAGACGGGACTAGTCCAGAATGAACTGCAGATCCACACAGTCCCGTTTCGGCCCTGGGAACAGGAGAGAAATTCACCAGAGGGATGGCGTCTTTTCGACTACACCCAAGCGCACCCACTCCGAGATGACCTGACAAAGCACAGCGGAAGAAGCCTGCCCCGTCAGCCCCGAACCCTGCAGAGGAGGAGCCACCCAATGCCACCACAGGCTGGGTCACACGACCCTGGGTTTTCCAGGGCCATTGCTCCCTGAAACCTCTCTTGAGTGGGCCAAGTTCTGGCTCGTGGTCCCCGGTAGGGTGAACTCCATAGACTAATGCCCCGGTCTAATATATCACACATTAGCCTAGCTCCAGGAAGCTGTAAGGGCTCTCCAAAGAAAGATTAATAATAAACCATGCAAAATTTCTAACCTTGATGTAAACATTGCCCACTAGATGATCACCAAGGTTGTCACAAACGTTCATCTCCTCAATTTCTCCATAGCGATCCTCACATTCTACAAAAACTTCCTCAAAAAAGTTGTCATAGTGTTCTTGCATTTCTTCGTCACTAACTGTGGCTGAAAGATTCAGTTAATAATTAGCTCAACATCCCAATTCTGTTTATATGTAATTCTATACATCTGTATCAAGTATGCCTCTACCTGTTCAAAACAAAATTTGCATGCAAAATAGCTCCTAATCTTTCATAACTCTCACCTTATTAACCAGCACTTGATGAGGACCAAACCACAATGCATGGAATATTTGCTGAAGAATTTTGTATTCTGGATTGGCTAGCTGATAAAAGATGAAGCTGCTACTTCTTTGCACTTAGAAATAAGAATACATAAAGAGAATGAGGCATGCTGTACAAAATATAAACAGAGAAGTAAGAAAAATAATAAAGTTCAAACTAACAAAACAAAAATATTTTGCATTGCATTTTGATAATACAGTACAGTATTTACAATACAGATCCCATTCACTGCCATTTAACCTAATGACTGTGAAATGTGATAGAGGTCAAATCAAGAAAATAGGACCGTTTCGGCGACATACAATTGCTGTTCAAGCCTAGAAAATGTTTCCAATTCATAAAATCAGCAATCTAGGGAATGTAACTAGTTAGCAAGCATATTCATTTAACTCTGAATTCCTTCTGGTAGGTGAGTTATATGGTACAGACTATGAACAGTACTGAGACTAGTACTGAACCCTGTGGTGCTCTGCTTGTAACATTTCTTCCGTCTGATACATTACCTCTTGTGTGAGACTGTCAAAATTTTTTTTTAGGTCCAAATAGATATGGTCAACCCAACCATCTCCTACCTGTTAAATCTCTTAGGCTCTATCATAAAAGCTCAGTAGATTTGTTCGAAAGCCATACTGTCTCTTATGTCATTTCTTTCCAATATTCTACTTAATTGGTTACAATTACTGTATTTTATTATTTATTTATTTGACTACCACACTTGTCAATGATACAGGTAAATAACTTAGACCTGTATCTTTGCAAGAATTTTTGTAGATTTGAACTATGTTAGTCTTTTTTCCACATACAGTACAGTGCAACCTTGATTTGGCAAGCTATAAGTGATCAATTCAGATTCATTGGAATGAGAGATTCATTGCAACCAGAGATGCATTGAAGAGGCATGTGTGAGATGTAATTTTTTAAGAAAAATACATGGCTTCAGATTTTTTTTTATAATGTTTTCTTATACAAAAATCACTGAAAATGTGATAGGAGCCATATTAAATTACCAATCATACTCTAAAATTTCCCATGCTTTATGGGCAAATTTCACTGAGCATAATTCTAATTTTAACCTGTAATATGATGAACGACTACCAGGAGAACCTGCCAGTAAAGAGATTTCACCACATCTAGCATATTTCCCATGCCCCCAGCCTCAAAATCTTATTTTTCAAAGGAAGAAGGATCCATGTATTCATGGACAAAATGCAGCAATTTGAAATGAAAACGAACCATAGAATTTCATATTAAATACGTTTAATGGCTTTTCCAAGGCTCTAACTCTTCCTTTAAAATGTTGGTGCCATCTGTTAAAACATGATTGGAGCCATATCAAGAAAGTTACTGTTCATTCCCTAGCTAAATGAATTTTGAGGCTCAGTCCTGAGCCCATTATGTGCCTCTGTAACCTTTTCCACTACTGCCCACATGATGGGTATGGGGTGCATAATAAATGAACTAAACTAAAACCAAAAACATGCCCTAATATTTCCCATGCACTTTGGACTAAATTCACTTAGGTTGAAATAAAAATTTTGCTATCATATGACTGACAACTTCCAAGAGAACACGTCGGTAAAAAGATTTCACATCTGACTTATTTCTCATACCAACAGTCTCAAAACTCAAAAAAAAAAAAGAAAATCAGTAACTGGAAAGCTGGGGATAGACAATGAATGAGCATGAACACAAAAGCTACATTAACAAAGTGATACAAAATTTCCCTATAGTAAAATAACCAATACAGTTGTAATATATAATGACTCAATGATGTGTAGAGTGAAATTAAAGTTCTAGTTAAAGAAAAGAAAATATAACTACACTAATGAAGTGAATATGTTTATTGTAGTACATACTGATGCAACATTATGAGTAAGCCAGTTTTATACAGTGAACTGAAAGAGTAAGAGAAACTTTCAATTTACTTACAGTGTGATCCATCAGCTGATTTAGCAGAGTTCTGGGGGTTACAGTAGAGGTTGAGGATGAGGACAGTCTGTAAGATGCAGCAAGGATTCACAGTACTTTTAAGCAGACAAAAAATGTGAACAAGGACACCATAGGCCTCCTTTGGCAATTTGTTTTAAAAATACCCACAAAGAAAACAATATACAGTACATTTTTTTATCAGCATTAAGAGACAAAATTCAATCTGGTAATAGATTATTTACCCAGCATTGTGTATTAATATCTAAGTATAGTAACAGGATGAGAGCTATGCTCATGATGTCCTGTCTTCCTGATTCTTCCTGATTATCTGTCATATGATGCTTTGAAACTACAGATTCAAATGGACAGCTTGTTCCAACTGTCTATATCTCCGATCACAAAAGAGAACTTTATGTTTCTTTTCAGTGCCTTTGTTTCCTTAACTTGAATCTGTGGCCTCTTCTTCTTGAAGTTGCAGGTTTAAAAAAAATCCTGCCTGTTTATTTAGTAAATTTTGTATGTAGTGATCAGCCACCACACGACTGCTACATATTCCAATTTTAGTGTCACAAATGTCATAAAGTTTCTTTAATACGGTAATTCTCCACCCATATATTCAGAAATTTGCTAGCGTATTGTAGGCTCTTCTCACAATGCCCTTTATGTGCTCCTCTAGTGACGGCTTACTATCCAGAACCACTTCATTCCTTGTCAGTGGTTTTTAGTATCTTTTCACTTAATATGTAGGATAAGTGTGGCCTGTTTTCCCCACTTCCACATTTTATTAAGCGACATTAATTACAGAGAATTCCATCTGCCATGTGTTGCTCCATTTACTTATTTTAACTAGGCCCTATTGGAGGCCAAGCCTCCATTAGGGCCATCTAAGTCCTTGACTCTCCTTAGCAATTTAGTATCAACTTCAAACATATTCATATATCTCTATATCCTCTCTAGTAGATCTCTGATATAATGAACATTATTAGTGCAACAAATGATCCTTGAGGTACAGTACTCTGCTAGTTACATCTCCAGTCAGATCCATTGCCTGTGATCACTACTCTTATTTCTCTGACCATGATTATTTTTTTATCTAATTTAGTAGTCTGCCTGTTACCCCTCCAATGTATTCTAACTTCCAGAAAAAATATCTTATATGGGACTGTGTCAAAGGCTTTTTTTCAGTCCAGGTATATGAAATTGGCCCACACTTTCCTTTCCTGCAATATCTCTGATGTGGGGCGCCTGACAGCTGGGTGGACAGCGCTCAGATTCGTAGCCCTGAGGTTCCGGATTCGATTCCCAGTGGAAACGAAGACAAATGAGCAAAATATTTCTTTCATCCTGATGCTCCTGTTACCTAGCAGTAAATAAGTACCTGGGAGTTAGACAGCTGCTATGGGCTGCTTCCTGGGGTGTGTAACAAAAAGGAGGCCTGGTTGAGGACCGGGCCGCGGGGACGCTAAACCCCGAAATCATCTCAAGATAACCTATTATAAAAACTAAGATAATTTGTAATACTGTAATGCAAAATCTTCTCAGTCAAAAACCAAACTGTGTGTCCATTATTACTGTATGTAGTTTCTTTCCAGGTATTCTACCCATTTGACTTCAATTATTTTTTCTAGTGCTTTTCCTACCATGCTTGTCACTGACACAGGTCTATAGTTTAGAGGGTCTTCCGTTTCCATTTTTACAGACTGGTACAATGTTTGTTTTTCTATACATGAGATAGGTTCATTGTTTGTAAGGATACTTGGAAGATAATTTGTAGCAAGGCACTAATCTTGGGTGCACATTTCATTAGTATTCAAGGTGAGAGACTATCTGACCTGACTACTTGATTTCTGTCTAGCTCCTTGAGTAGTATTTCTACCTAATCCCTAGCCACTTCTATATGCTCTACATATATATACTTCTATAAGTTACATAATAAAAATTTATATTCAAGCTGGTTTGATGAAAATCTCATCCCGCAATAACACACTTTGGAAATATTTGTTTAGCGTTTCATACATTTCCTTTTCAGTCCCTTTGAGTCTGTCTCCCATTTGTAGCATTTGATTTTCTTTCTCAACTGCAATTTACTTTTTATGAATTTATAGAAGAGGTTGGGTTGTTTTACATTCATCTGCTATTCCCTTCTCAAAGTTTCTCTCTCTCTCTCTCTCTCTCTCTCTCTTTTCACTGTTGTGAAGTTGTTTTGTGTAAGTTTGTAGTACTGTACTGGTATGTTTGTGGTTTTGGCCTCTTCGTATACTGATAACAATTTTGTTTCTTTTGTTCTCTGGCCCCTTTACAATTTCTATTGAGCCTTCAATTGCACATATCAACCATGGGTATTTCATAAGTGATGCATATTTCAAACAGTGTAAATTTTAGGCCCAACATAGGATTTAAAGCTCCTGCAGTTATACTGGGATCACATCTGCTTCTTCAGACCTCCAGTAAACAGATGCCATCTTGGAAAAAAATCGTGGGCACCTTTCCATGAGTAGCACATGCAGCAGCAACTCATAGCACCACCATGCAGCTCGTGCTTCCAGCATCACTTAATGATGAAATAAGTAACTGCAATAATTTAACAATGATAGTGATATAGAAGATCCTGATAGCAATAAATACTATGTACAAGGATCAGATATCAGCTAACTTAATGAATTTGATGACATTCACAGTAAGAAGTGCAATATTAGTACTGTAATAGTAAATATTAGTAATAACAGCACAAAGTTGCAGTTTGGCGCATTTATGCATCATGCAAAGAGACCACGTTCCTTTAGAAAATGAACATGTGAAAAATATTCATATACAGGATTTAGTGACCACGATTCTGATAATAGTAGTGCTTTGGCTAGTGTTAGCAGTGTACATAGTATATCGGCAGTACTTTGCTTCATCACTTTGCATAAATATTGAGATAGTTGTGTATAATATGTGAATGCAGTGTGATAACAAAAACAGTATGCTTTATTATTCTAATATTATAATGTGGAGTGCATATTACTGACAGGAATATATCTGTGCATACTGTTTTACATGTTTTGTGATGTAAAGAACATAACTGACAGCCCAATGCATCATTGCACTTGAATAAATCCATAAAAATATATTTGCAGCAATTCTCGCCACTTGAACGGCTTCATCTTTCCTGGGTGATCCTTCTGGTGGCACTTCATCTTGCCCCATGAGCACTCACGAATCTGTGATGCCATTGCGAGATTTCATCACTCCACCACAGCCAAAGTGGTGGCTGCGGTGGATATAATCGAGGAACTGGATGCACAGATGGAACTAATGAGTGACCTGTTTTGCCAAGTTCAATGTCTCATGTTTTGTTTTCAGTTCTATTTAACCTGCTGATTATTTTGTCTTAACCACCTTTCTGGTGGCACTTTCTTGGTTAGAGTAATTTAGAACGCTTTGCTCCTGGTACCTCTATACAGGAGGTTAGGTTTCGGCCTCGGAACTCTGGTAGGATTAAGGAGACAAGCAAAGGCCTGGCATGGATTGAATTGGGTGGAGCTATCCAGGTAGCTAGCAACAGATGCAGAAGCCGTTGAGTTATTATGTTTTTATTACACTAAAGTTTGTGTGATTCAGTCAGATGTGGCTACCCATTCGCAGAAATACAGTACCGCATTATTATTAACTCTATTTAAATATGGAAAAAAGGCAAGAATTCACACTAGACGTCTTAAGTTTCTTTTCAACTTCGAAAGCTAAAAGTTCAACTTTCAACTTAAGTTTCTTTTCAGTGGCAACTGAAGGAGACAAACTCTAATACTGTATAGTCAGTGATCACCAAGCACTCTTCCAACTAAAATGCTGTATAAAATAATAGCATTAAAATTTATCTTTTGAAAAATACTCAAAATTTTTGTACTATAGTATAGACTATGATTTGCAATAAAATACACAATGAAATCAAAATAAAATGATACATCTATGGCATAATAATTGGAGCAGGATGACAGGATCGATCCCACTGTCCTGCTCCAACAATCTAGAATACAAAATGTGTGTATATATATATATGTGGATATGTGTGTGTGCATGTATGTATGTATGTGTGTGTGCATGTATATGTATGTATGTATGTACGTACCAGTACATACATAAATATACAAAACATTAAAGGGGATTTTTCGATCCCCTCCAATACAGTTTCCACACCTGAGCTGTGCTGTTGATAATGTGGTGACATATGGCTGAACTGTACTGCTAAGAATGAGGTATTTTAAGGAAGTAAAGGCAGGATTTTTAAAGTCCACAAAGAAGTAAGGACAGGACATTCCTAAGGAAATTCAATTAAAAATGCAATGCTTATCATTTAAGATATTCACAGAAATCTCATGTCTTTGATACAACCACACAAGCACTACCAGGCAAAACCTTGAAATTTAACAAATAAAATACCAGCACTGAATGTAATGAAATGCTTCTTTCTGGTGGGGGCCCTGTAGTTAGCCACACTAACACAGCTCCATACCCACAAGTTACATCAGCCCTTGCGAGTACCTAAAATTTTACCAGAGACAAGACACCAAAATCTGCCTTTCTCACAGAGGAGCAGGGAATTTGTGATTGTCTTCATCGAAGAGACAAACCCCACAGAAGAAGTGAAGCAAAATAGACAACTGCAAGGCTCACAGAAAGTAAATAAACAATGCAGCAAAGAACTCGGCAAACAATCTACCAGTAGTTAGGCCATTACTCCATGGTTACACCTGGCCACCACTAGGTGGCAACACCATGGGAGTTGGCAGTACCATGTGACTTGGCAGTACCATGGGAGTTGGCAGCTCCCCATATCAACATGCATCATTTCAGAGCTTGAGAATAACCAACCAATGCACCTGGTAGGAAGTGAGGGGGTCCAGGAAGCCACTGAGGCATCCCCAGAAAGAAGCATTTCATTACATTTAATGCCAGTTTACTGGAGTAGCCAAAGAGTGGTGCATTGTAGGTAGCTGGCTATTGAGAAAAACAGACTTACCAAGGAAAGACAAGAGAAAAGAACAAACCCCCAAAGGTAAGAGACCAGGACAGGAATCAGACCAGGTA